ATATATATATATAATGTTATATACTCTGCTAAACTACTAGACATACAACTATCTGAGCCAACAGGCGTTGCGCAAACGCGAACGTTGAACAGTTTCACATGAAATTTCAGCATTCGTTGCTGTGCAACACCTGGAAGGTGCTCTTTAAACATTGTAATAAAACAACAATCTAGTTTCTAGGCTATAAATAAATACAATAAATAAGATGTTTCTTAAAAGAAAATGCTTTGCAACATTTAGTATGGATGTTTGCTTTGTTACGTAAAACTATTTACATTTGAATATGGAGCAGGCCGATGGATTAGGCCACCGGCGAGGAATCACCTTTCATGTCACGCTCACGAAAGAATCCTCGCTCGGTTTTGCACTCTCTTATGGTGACTGTCTCCAGATTGACAGTAACATCCGTGATGACCACACGATTTGACATCTTACACTTGGAGGGCAACCAGAAGCGGGGAGGCAATGCACGCGGTGACAGCGGGCTAGCCGGTTGCTTTTGACTCAACGCCAGGGCACCAGAAAGTTTAGTTATGTTGTTGTTCTCTGATGGTGGCCCCGCAGTCGTTAGACCCACATCATCCTCCTCCTCATTATAGGCGGGCGCAGAAGATTCACCAGCTTCTGTTTGAGCACCGTGCGGCGTCCCTTGCGGCTCTGTTTTGTGTAGCTGTGCTGGCGCATCCGCTGCATTCTGCTGTTGTTGCTCCTGCGCCGAGTTGAGCGGTTTGGTTGCCGGTCCATCGGGTGAGGTTTTAATGGTAACACCAATTTTACCCGATTCTTTGAGAACCTCAGCCTTCCGCTTGGTGCCCATAAGTGGCTGATCCTCTGAGCTTGATGAATTGGTGTCTGCCTCCGGTACAAACGTATTCTCATTGTGCGTTGAGCTGCAATTCGATGAGGAGCTGTGATCTATGCGCAGACGCTTCGCCTCATGATGATGATGATGGTGAGTTAACGGCGATTCAGATCGCCGGTTACTAATACGTTCGGACTTGATACTTTGGTTGTTGTTGTTGCTGCTGTTGTGCTGCTGCTGGTGATGATGATGGTGGTGGTGATGGTGTTTCTTATCCTTCTCCTTTTTATCAATGCCATCGTTAGTTGTGGCAGCTGACGATGTTGTTGCCTGATTGGTATCAGGTACATCGTCGCCGGTGAATGTATACTCATCCTCTTCAGACTCTGGGTCTGGATCTGGCTCCTTTTCTTTCTTTTCCTTTTTAAGCGCAGCGCCACGTTTCGAAGGCGTGCCAGAGGATTTGTTACTTTGCTCATAGATGTCAATTAGACGACGATCCAAGATGTTTACCTCCGGCTCCCATGTGTTGTACCGTTGGTTCCAGCCCTTCCACTTGACACGATACTCCACAACACCCTGAAATATAAATAAGTATATTAAAAGAGGTGTTCAAATAAAAAATAGAAAAATTTGCATAAATAATATCTATTTTTTAAAATAAATATAAATTTATATTTCTTCTATTTTCAGTCAGGATCGATCATACATTGAAACATACATTTGGCGCGTTCCAAACACACAGCGAAAGGCGAACTAATTGATTTTTCATCGATGCCGATATGTAGAACAGACTAAAAACAACAACACACACTCATATGCACACACGCGCAGCGTAAATGGTGGTTGCTACTGCCACAAGCTGCTGCTGTTGCTGCTGCAGCAGAAGCAGCGGCGACAGCACGAGACATTGGCGCAGCTGCCAGCAGATGGACGACGCGAGCCTCTGCTCGAAATTTCGAAGGACATGTGACCTTGTAGTTGTGAGCTGCGCACATTTGTCTTTCGCATGCGTTGCAGTTGCATTATTATTTTTGTTTATTTTCTAGAACGTACCTTTCTAACGCGCTTCTGGATGATTTTTTCGGCAGCATAGACGCGATCGTCCGAGCTGCCCATTGTGTTGCCGTCCACTTTACCGATTTTGAGGCTTTTCTTGTTCCTCCGTTGAAATACAAATTAGTAGCACTTGATTTGCCGTTTACTTAACGTTCTTGTTGCTCGATTTTCATTAAATTTACAAAACTTTAAACCTTTTAAAAACAAATTGCGACTGACATTTACACTGGTTGCAAACAATGTGACCGCATCACTGCTAGTAAATAAAACTTTCAATTACACTCGTGTTATCGGCTACCCGCCACCAGGCATCGGTTGCCAGATAGTGTTGCGAGAAATTTGTTGTGGATGAAGAGGAGTGGAGTTTGAAGTGTGGATCGTAAGGTGTGGCCGCAGGCAAACAGCATAAAAATCCGCCCATGAACTTATTCAGCATTATGATGTTAATGTGACTTGGTGTCACTGCTTCAAGTGCGAACAAAATAAATCAAATTTGCAACGTCTGAGTATGTGTGCGAGAGTGTTGAGTGCAAAATGATTTTTATAATACTAAATAAATAACAATGTGATAACGCGATTTTCGACAGCACCGCATACAGATACAAACGCGCAGTAATTTTTAATCGTAGTGTATAGTTCGCAAATCAAGTAAACGCAAGGAAATCGAAAATGTGAAAACAGGCCGCATACGACAAGCACACATACACACGCACACAGCCACATGCATACGCGCACACGTTGACACACGCACACACACAATGACCCAAAAAGGATGTCGAGCTGCGGCAGCCTATAGTAAATACGTTGTTGTTGCCCATGTCAATTGGGCCTGCTTTGTCGTCATAGATTGGGTCGATGAATGGCACTAAATGCGGCGCTGGGGCGCAGGATGCCATTGCCGTTATTACGTTTGACAGATAACAAAGGGAAATGAAGACGTCAGCATCGGATGAACTGGAAGTGGAAGTGGATGTCGAACTGCGGCCGGGGGCTCAACATGGCTATCTAATTAGTGAGGAGCAGGCGACGAAGGCAACGCTATTAACGATATATTTATTTACGCTGTGATAGTGAAATACCAAAAACACCAAAYAAACAAAAGAACAAAACAAATGAAACGAAAAGAAAACCCAATAAAAAAAATAAACATGCCAAGAATCAAACGCAATATTTTCGCTGAAGCAAATTTTAATTGAAAATTGAAGAGAAAGACTAAAAAACAAAAACTAATTCAACAAAAAGCTTTAACAAAACACCAAGCAGAGACGACAGGAAGAAAAACTGTACTAATATTAACTCTAATTAATCTAGTAAGAAAACTAAAAAAAAAAAAAAAAAAAAAAAAAAAAAAAAAAAACAAAAACAAAAAAACAGCACCAATTAGCGCTTAACCCTTAGATGAACTAGTCAATATGTTTAGCTAGTTACAATTTATACTTAACAATTACTTAGTGGCTTTAACTAAAACACCAAGCAACCAAAAACACCAACAACCAAAAACTCCAACAAAGGAAAAAAAAACAAAATCAAAGTTCAATTGAAAAGAAACTAACGAATATACGTTTAGGGAATTTCAATATAGATAAGCTTAGCCAAGTTACTTATTAAGTTTAGAGCAAATATACACATACATATATATACACATTATATATAAATATACACATACATATATCATATGTATAAATAATAAAGAGCCGCCACGCATACTGCAGCCCCCGCAGCAGGCCCTAAATCAAATTCATTCAGAAAACGTGCCATAAACCGGACTGCCAGACGTCGCTAAATGTCAAAGTCATAAAGAGAGCGATACAGAGGAAAACAAAGAAATAAAGGGAGAGAGAGAGAGTGAGGAAAAGAGTGAATGAGCGAACTTGCGCGTGGGAGCGCCTAAAAGCACGCCTTCGTGTGGATATCAAGTTAAAAGCTCAGCTTTGCTTCTGCTTAGTCAAGACACAAACCTCAAAATGGCAAACGCCACAACAACTGGAGGAACAACAGCATCAACAACGCATCTTGATGATGCGAGCAGCATGAGCGACGATGTTTTCGAGGATGCGGAAACGACCAAAGCACGCATCGAGGAGCTGCGCCGTCGCCCCTTTGGAGATGGCTGCTACAATCCGGTGGCAGCGCCGGTGTCGCAGCATCAGCACCATCATCATCACCACCCCAACACCAATCACAACAACAGCAGCAGCCAGCAGAGCCTGACGAGTAGCCATCATTACCATGACCATGATGCCATCATGGCTCCCGTTCAGCGCTCCGCCACCGGCTATCCGGGCTATCGGCCATCCCGCGAAGCAATGCAGATGTATGCCTACGGTAATGCGGACTACGAGCTGGAGGATGACTACGATGATGGCTGGCGCTCGTATCGCTACGACGAGGTGGACATGCATCAGACAGCGCCACCGGCCCATCAGCAGCCCTTCGACGACACCATCAATCACAAGACGATCCTGCTAGGTGACTCTGGCGTGGGCAAAACCTCCTTCCTGGTCAAATACAATACGGGCGAGTTTCGTTTGGGCTCCTTCTCTGCCACCGTTGGCATTGCACTAACGGTAAGTCCTAACAAATGAGAGAGAGAGAGAGTAAGTTAATGACTTTTAAGCAACGCATCTGTGCATCCTTCTCCCTTCACCTGTGCATGCCCAAAGTTTACGTTCCTGAGGCTTTCAAAAACACAGATAGATTCATAATCCTCTTTCGTGGCTTTGCTGTGCGCGCCTAGTTAAGCCCGTGACTGTCTGTGCTGGTGTGTGTTTGTGTGTGTATGAGTAACTGTAATTGAGCAGCAGCCGCAAGGGTTTTGTAAGCAACATATTGTTGTGTTGCGGGGCGTTTCATGTACTTCATGCTGAAATCTATTTATATCGCACACAAATCTCAGCAGCGCATTCGCATTGATTTTGTTGCTCCGATGGCATAAAAATAACTCCATAAAAGCGACACGTTAGGCTATGCCAGTATATGTATGGGTGGGTGTGTATGTATTGTGTATGTGGCTGTATGTGTGTATGGGTGTGTGTGTGTGTGAATGCGCACTTCATAACATTTACGACACGTCACGCATAAGCGATGGCAAAAGGTATCGCAACAATTTGATTGATTAGCTGATTACGACTTAGATCTAAGAGAGATTCTGTTGAAGGCTTAACGGAATTATTATTATAAAGCTCTCGTCAAAGTAAAAAGGATATTATTAATTAAAAAGTATAAGAGAATATTTGAGGGTAATAGATATACTCTTAAACAAACCATTTAAATTTAAATTATGTTTTATAATTTTCATTTAAATAAATAGAGGATGAAATATATATTCTTATATATTTTTCAATGAACTTACGAATATTCTACTTACAAAAAAGTTACCTCAATTTCAGTGGAATATTCCGAAATGAACGCTAAATTGCATTAATTCCAGCTGCAAGCTTTCGAGTGCGCCCTCAAGTAGGCAACGAATTTTGTATTCACAACCTGTTGCCGGCTTTCACTTTCGCAGTTCGCAGCACGAAGCAACGCAGCAGCAGCCGCAGCAGCAGCAGCAGCAGCAGCATGTCGGCCAGCAAGCCAATGAAGTTCAAGTGCAACAGTTATATTTTTCCAAGGTTCAACCCTGCCACCTGGTCCACATATTCGTGCCACACTCCAGCAGTCCCTTTGGACGCACTTCTGGCGCGTGCCCGACATTGGCTGTACGCATTTCTAGGCCAGGGCTGTTGCCACTGCTGTGCGAGCCGAAGTTGCACGAGCTCGATTCGGGCCAATAGCTGAAGCACTTTGGCGCTGGATGCTGTCGCCTGCTGCTTTCGATGATTCTGGCTGCGTGTTCAGTTTAGTTTTGTGCGCTGCTCTTGACGCTTCGATTGACGGTCGCGCAATTGCTCACACAGCATCCATTCAAATTTCAGTTACTGTGCACAGATTTTCAAACGGCATTGTCGTTGAGTAATGTAAAGTGAAAAAGAACGCTTCGAACATTGTGTTGTCAAACGCAAAGACTCACACATACACACGCACACAAGCACAGCTCCTTTCATACAGAAACGGCGCATTGAATGCTAAACAACTTCGTTGCATACTTTTGAGCGCACCACGACTTTGCTGCAACTTGCAACATTTTCAGTTATTGGCTGTTCAATGCTGTGTGTGCTTGAGTGCGTGTGTGTATGTGTGTGTGTCTGACTGTATATTATAGTGAATATGTCTGTGTGTGTTTGGGCTTTTTGATGTCTGCGCGTTTCAAAATAGATGAAAACAATTTATGGAAGGCAACTCATAAAAATTGATTTGTGCTTGTGTGTGTGTGTGTGTGTGTGTTTGAGTGTATATTAGAAATATGCCTTAATTAAATTATTGTTGCTTCACTTTGCAAATTTGTTTTGTGCAATAGTTAAAGTGTTTTTGGAAGTACTTAGAATTCTGTTTGATTTGTTCGAACATTTTTAAATAGATGAAAAGAAAATAGTCTAATAAGTAATTAAATTAGTTATTTATTTATTAGTTTAAAATTTTCCTATATCAATTGAATCATGCAAAACTCAAGCAAAACTACTACATTGAGCGTACAAATAATTTGATTTAATGCTAGCATTTATATCTCATATATACATCCATTGCACATAAATTTCACTAGAAATCCGATTTGTCGTACTCTCTTATTTATAGTCTGTTAATGCAGTCCCTCTGCAATTGACTGCGAATGTGATGTTTTTGTTGTTGTTGTTGTCTGTGTTGTCGGTGTTGTCGCACGCATCGACAGCTCGTTCGTTTGCTCGTTTTGCAGATGTCCTCGGGCGCATTTATCTTGCTCAACTGCGTATTAATTATACGCCTTCTGTGCATTCAATAATCGAAAGTCAATTTCTATTCCGTGTGGCCACTTGCATTGTCTGCAGGTAGCTCAAGTTCAAGGCTGGCTTAATTAAAAACCACTTTTCAAATTCCAGGCAGGAGCCTAGGGATTCCATGGAAACTGCTTCAGTTGCGACATTTTCCGTTGCGAAAGTTTTTACGGAAATGCAATTTAAGCCGATTACTATAGCAAATCTTTGCTGTTGTCAGTTGCTGTTGTTGTTGTTGTTACTGTGTTTGCTGTCGTATCCTCTTGTAGTCATGCTGCTGCAACTAGCTGTTGAGTGGCTTTCATCACAAATGCCATCATAAAACGTTTTACGGCAGCCGCACATCAATGTAAAGCTGTCCATTCGGTTGCCCAGCATTGGCTCGCCAGTTTCCTGTTAAAATAAACTGGAACGCCCACTCACGCACACGCCCACATATGGTGTGCTGAGCTGTGTTGTGCTGTGCTGTGCTCGGTGCCTGCCTGTGTGTGTTTTGGCCATTTCCTTAAAGCTGTCCATGCAATCAGCAAGCCATTGTCTGCTGCCAGCTGCGCCTCTTCGCTGCCCACTTTTAGCCGCCCGATTGAACGCATGATTGACTGTGTGTCTGCGTGTATTGAAACCGTGTACTTTGGAGGGGCATAGGCATTCCCCGTAAGTAGCCAGCCTTTGACGTAGGTAGAGTCTGCGCTTATGCTGCGTAGGCTTTACGAAACATGCTCAATCGGTCGTGAATGGAGGGTTCATTTCTGCTTCAGATTGATGTAATTACGCGCAGTCTGAAATGCTGCTCCTCGATTCATTCAGGCATCACGCAACTCTATTGTCGCTGACAATTTTCCAGTTCGAGCCATTGGAGCCGTTCGAGCCGTTGAAGCAGCTCGTTGCGATGGCAACCCAATTAAAAAGTTTTCTTATCACAGCATCCAGATTGCCAATGTAAAGTTGATTATATATAATTTTATGCTGCACTAATACGATAAGGTCATTTTTATGGGTCGATACACTGCGCAAAAAAAGGTGACCCAGCGAATGGAAGAGGTTGCGCCCGTTGGCCGAAAAGGTCGCACTTTAGAAAAGGATGCGGCTGAAAATAATAAATTTGATATTTGATACGTCGAGGGCAGATGACATAAACTAGCATGAATATGATAGGAAATATTTGAGACGGGAATTTGCTGATCTATTGACATTTATTTTCGCCAAATATTCGCAATTTATTTTCATTTAGGCGCCCTCTGGGGCCGCTCACACTGCGCTCTAATTGTCATGTAATGCACACTTTTTGCTGCTCCTTATTTTATGTAGTGGAGTCCTTGGGCTTCGAGTGATATCGGCTTACAATTTAAGCCCCGAGTACGTTGGTCCTGAGCCTCTCGCTGCAATTTCTGGGCCATAGTTCGCCGGGTCTTCAAGTGTAGTCAAGTCGGGGCACGTGCGGACAGGCGATGAACTTTATTTAAAGAGCTGCTGTGGCGCCGGGCAGCTGTAACTGGGACTTGGGCCCAATTACACGCAGACAGCGGCACTCCAGACGGTACGAAATAAGTTTCGCCCGGCTGGCTGCTATTCAGTTTTTTTATAAATATATTTTTGTGTATATAAAAACGTTTTCTTTCCTTCATTCTTTTTTTTTTTTTACGTTTAAGACATTGAAGTGTGCCCGGGCAAAGGTGAATTGGCAGTACGATTTGCACACTACGCCGCCGTGCCAATCAACTGTTTGCCTCTGTCTCGTCGGCTGGTTTCTTGTGAAATTGTGAAACTATATGCGCACCAGCATTATGTAGTATTGACAATCCTATTATCCTCCTGTTTGACAGACGTTCAATACAGTAAAAAACAGAAAACAGCAAACTTTGCCGAACATTTTTTTATGCAAATATTTCGCTTGGCAGAAAAGTTTCATCAGCTGCAGCAAACGCAAATTTTTTTTTATTATTGATTTTAGCTACAGAAACGAGCATAAAATATATCGAATTTAAATGAGAATGTTCTAGTTGCATGACATTGAAATGGACAGTTCCAGGCAATGATCAAATTTCGTATGGAAAATCACAGAAACTTTCGACTTATGGGGCTTCCTAAAGCATTCCTAAACAAGGTTTTTTTTCCCCCAAAACAAACTGGATTTTCCATGTGAAATTTGCATTTAAATTTTATACTTTATTCATTTTGAAAAGTTTTTCGGGTCAGATAACGTGTTTGAGCAGGTTTTTCCCGCACACACATAACTTTTCCTAATGGCAAGTGAAAATTGTAAAACAGTTGCGTAAATAGACATGTGGGCTAATCACGTGGTTGCGCCGCTCTCGATGAAGCCTTTTCAATTCCCAATTATTGTCCAAAATGCTGCGCTGAGGCGTGCGTTTGTTGGCTTTTGTGGTTTCTGCTTGCCAACTGTTGATTTAGCGACGGTGGTCCACCTAACTCCCGGACTATAATCCGGCCATTCGGCCGTGCGTGCGTGTGTCTGTGTCAGTGTGTGTGAGTGTGAGTGTGGGTGTCAACGACAATAGCAGCAACATTTGTGGTCCTGGGGGAAAGCTAACCTTGCGCGGTTTCGGTTTTCGTCCTGGCTTGCGACGCTGCTGTTGGCAAGCCAATTACATTCAATTTGCACCTGTGCACCTGTCTACCTGTACAGTACCCAATGGGCCCGCTGTGCCTGTGTCTAACTGCCTTTTGGCTCTTTTTAAAGTTCCGCCTGCTGCTGAGTTCTGAATTTTAACTTGCTTTTGCTCAACTGGCCAAAGTAAATTAGAACTGACGAAGTTTATTAAATTTTCAGCGACTGTATTATGATTACGGTGGACTATATATAGAGCTCTATTATTTGTTGTGGTTGTTGTTATGCGTATACTTTGAACTTTGTTGTTTTTATTTTTATTTTTATTTTTTTTATGATTTTTAATGAGTTTTTTAGGGCAAAAGTTTTGTCTTTTGCTTTATGCGCTGCCTCAGCAAAGTTGGCAACCCGATTTCGATTCACAAATTCGAGTCGAGTTGTCGAGTTGAAGTTGGGTCCGGGGACTGAGTGAGCTATTGCTGTGGTGGGTTTGCTGTTGGGACTGTGCGTCATTATGGGGCTTGGATTATGATAACGATGATGATGATGATGATTCTGATTCTGATGATGATGATGATGGGTAGCAGTTAGTTTATTGATTTATTGCGTACGCTGGCGTGTTTGAAATTGAATCAAGCCAATTTGCATTTGCACCTTTATACAGCAGCGAATTGATTGTCTTGCGGATTGAAAGTGGCATATTCGAGCGGTTTCAGAGATGCGACGTCAGCAAACGCGCTATCGCAGCGACTCCATCGCTGGCACCAGCACTGGAGCAACTCGCAAGGCATCGCTGGTCACTAGTGTGAGCAACGCCTCGCCCACGCGCCGCGAGTCGCTGGTGAAGCCCACCTGGCAGCACATTACACCTGGCCAGCTGCCGCCCAAGACCCTGGACAAGATCAACGGCATCGCCTCGGATGATTCGGATGACGATGGCTATCCCAAGCGTCGGCCCAGCGTCATTGTGCATCAGCGCCAGCAGTCGCTGTCCCAGCAGCCGCTGCTGCCGGAATACATGAGCCCATCGCAACTCTATCGCGATCATCTCCAGCAGCAACAGCAGCAGCAGCAGCAACAACAACAACAGCAGCAGCAGCAGACGTCGTCCCAGGCTCAGTCGCAGTCGAGTGGAAATGGTTTCAGCAGCAGATTTCTAAACAGCATGCGAATCAACGCAGCTGCCGAGCAGCAGCCGCTCCTGGATACTGGAGGAGGCGGAGGTGGAGGTGGAGGCGCAGGCGCTGGCGGTGGGGCGGAAGGTAGCGCGGCTGCTGCTGCACCTGGCAGCGATGGCGCCGGTGCCACGCTCTGCAAATCAGCTGGACGTGCGCTCATACGCATGATTTCCTCGACACCTGGCCAGGACGAGGATGAGGATTTCGATATCATGGGCAAGGTGACAATGAAACACACACAAATACACACACACTAACCAACACGACACGTTCACCCGCAGCCGACATGAACCTTAAGTGCGCACGACCAAAAGCCTGTTGACTCTGACAATTTGCATTACAAAAAGGACGACAGCAAACGAAATTCCCGAAATTTATAAGTATTTATAAGCGGCTAAACAGGCTGCCAAATCCCAGCCAAGGCTCTTTATCAGGGCCTGAGCCGCAAATTGATTTACGTGCAGCTCAGTCTGACTGATTATCTGTCCGCTTGTCTGACAGTCTGACTGTCTCTCTGTTTGTCTGTTCGCCCGTGTGCCTGGCTGACTCCTGCGTCTTTAACGACTTCGCCTCGTGTTATTTGCAGTCGCATTATTTGTACGATTTTACGACATTCCTGATTTACAATGCCATTTACATAAGCAGCTCAAAAATAAAGTCATCAAATGCTAAAAAGAGGGAAATTAAACAATAGACTTTTCTGTTGCTCTCTGCAAAGGCAACAGAGAATCGCAGTGCGAACTAAATTTTGGAATTTCGCTGTCAACATGTTGTCGCTGGGCCTCAGCTCGGCCGCGTGTGTCCTTCAGTGTGTCCTGTCAATAAATGGCGGCTACTGCGCTGCTAAAACAGTTTTGCTTTATGCTTTTCATTAGCGCAATTCGCTGGAATTACGACAAATGGTCCGGCACCGGCTGCGACTGCTGTCTCGCCCAACTGTACAGGCATAAAAAGGCAAGAAATAATAATCATCAATATGAAACAATAAAGCAAAAGAAAGCAAAGTTAATGCGCAGCTTAAATGCACTCAAAAGCAAATTCACTGCAATTTCGATTGTGAGCGAAATTCCCGGAAATTAATGGAGTTTCCAGTAAAAAAAGCTCAGCTAGCTATGACTAAAATATTCTATTACTGCTTCTAGTTAAATGAAAAACTAAAACTAATATATTTAACTACATACATACTACATATATATATTTGGCTTTGCTACTTCTGTTTGGCCAAGCTTTTTCAGCTGGCAAACAAACTTCACGCTCAGCGCAAACATTTGCATAAGTTATACGAGCTGCGTTGCGTATACGCCGTGTGTGTGTGTGTGCGCCGTCAAATGATTAAGTTTTGCGTAAAATACGCAAATTAGTTGGTTTATTTGCAGAGGTCAAAGGCAGCGCCATTTCCCAATGCTGTTAATTACGAGCTGAGAGCCTATTTAAATAGCAAAGCAAGTTCTATGAAACTCCAAACTGGATTGTGCATATACTATATAAGAAGCGTTTCAAATATCTGTTTCATTGCCCGAAGCATGCCATTTCTCTTGTTGCTCGCTGAAGCTAAGCTGTTTTTAATCACGGTGCAGTAAAGTAAAAAACAGAACAGACTCTGAATGTCGACAAAAACAGGTCGCTATTATTTTTATGAACTTGAACGCTTCAGTAAACATTTCATGGCAGAAACCAGAAGCAGGAGCTGTGGCACGCTCTCAAGTGCTTTAAGGTCGGGCTTAATAGTTAATATACATTAGAAATTTACAAAATATTAAGATGAACTTGAACTTGGCTTTAATTAGCATTAATGTTTCACATTTAGATATACATTAACGCAGCGCTAAACGTTTTCACTTTATTCCTAAGCATTATTTAAATTTGGAGCACATTTTATAAATCAAGCATCTGCCATTCCAGACTTGAGATGCGCATTGCAGCTTCAGTTTCGTGGAATCTCCAGCGTGGCATGTTGATATAGCATTGGAGTTAAGTTTTAATTGCTTGCTGCTGCTGCGGCGGCGCTGCTGCTGCGCTGCTGCTGCTGTAGCAACCAATTTAGGCGAGAGCAGTCAGCTAAATCAACAGCAGCCGCAGAGCAAGTCCGCTGTCTGCTGCTTTTATTTTATTTTTGGGGTTTCCTTTTGAAGCTTAGTAAATATATACATATTTATATACATATACATATACATATACAGCTACATTATGTTGGCCTGGCATATGCTACATACATGCACACATAAATTATTTTTGTATAATGCTCAATGTATTTTTCTTCATTTACACTCACTCACACTCATACTCGCACATGCTTGTTGTTGTTGGCCAGGTCATAATGCTGGGCGACTCGGGAGTGGGCAAAACGTCGCTTTTGATTCGATTTCGCGATGGTCGCTATGTGCCCAGCTATTTTCTGAGCACAGTTGGCATTGATTTTAGGGTAAGCGATTTCTCTCTCTCTCTCTCTCTCTCTCTCTCTCTCTCTCTCTCTCTCTCTCTCACTCTCTTTCTCTGTGTGTGTTACTGTTGTGTTTATTGTTGTTACTAATTGTTGTGTGTCTCTCTCTCTCTCTTTCAATCTCTCTGTCTGTCTGTCTATCTCTTTCTCTCTATCTGTACACCCCATTCCGTTTACCAACTGTTGTGTCTGTCTGTACGCTGTCAACAGTTGTCAAGGCTTTGAATACAATTTTCACCTGCTTACACATTAACTTTTTCTTCATCTGTGTTGTCTGTGTGACTGTGTGTGTCTGTGTGTGTGTGTGCAAATAAGTTTATCTAACTTCTTCTTCCCCTGTTAACACCCTTTCTTCCTTTCACTGTGCCTGTCCAATCCAAACAAACCGCAGCTGCTGCCAGCGACTGCTAACTGTAATTCCCTCTAATCGATGTTGTTTATCCAGCTATGTGTTAACTGTATCTGTATTCTCTGCTCAGCTACATATTGTACATATTACAGGTCATCCAAATGTCGGCTATTGCTTATACTTGATTCTGTCTGTGTCTGTGTGTGTGTGTGTGTGTGTGTGTGCAGTGCTTTGTCTGTTTGTTTTGCGGTTTTCATGTTCTTCAGCTGCTGTGGCGTTTCTCTTTAGTAAAATATTTTCCCGCCAGCTTAGCTCGTGTTCAAGCTGCCCCCAACCCCTTACCCCCTATCACCTACCCAGCCCCAACCTCCACCCAGCTGCTCTGTGCCTCCAAGTTGCCGGCGTTGCTGCGGCAAAAGTTCTTCTTTATTACAAAAGCATATGAACTTGAAAAGGACTTGTTGATGGTTGTGTGTCTGTCTCTGTCTGTGTGTGTGTGTGTGTGTGTGTGTGTGTGTGTGTGTGTGTGTGTGTTTGTGTCCTCCCAGCCTGTCTGTCTCCCTCTGTGTTGTACACTTGTTGTTACTCGTATTTAAGTTGATGTTGTTGCTTTTATTATGCTTATTATTGTGGGGTTTTTGTTTCAACTTCTAGAGGTTTTATTATCGTGAAAATTGCCGAGGGCTCACATGGCACATAAATTTATGAAAGCGCAATAATACTACAAGTATTCGCCATGTCTGCCATTAGCAATATAAATGTCCTTTGGACAATTGCCAGCTCATTGAATGGACACGTGCGGCTATTTTTGCCTTTCAACTTTTGCTCCGTCAAATTCCGTAGCATAAATGCGCGCATCTCGTTTCTATTATGATTTTTGTTGTCTTGACGACCGATTGAAGGTTGCAACGAAATGAAATTGAATAAATTTTATGAAAATCTAAACTAGAGCAAATAAATGTTGCGTGAAATAGAGCGAAAAGAAATTACATATTTAATGTATAATGCAACGGAAAACATTTAATTTTTAATAATTTATTTTGTATGCTAATTTTGTGTAATAAATATATAATTTGAACATATTGAAACTTGCGACTTTTTAGTGTATGTTTTTTTTTTTTCTCGAACATAATCTTTGAACTCGTGAATTTAATACGCGCCAAGCCTGGGGATATGCAATACACACAGCCTTATGTGATATGTATGTACGTACTTATGTATTCAGTTTTCATTTTGCCTTGAATACATCATTGAAATATTCATTATTTATGTAGACCGTTTCCACTGTGCTTCACTAAATGAATTTCACAGTAAATTATATTCAATGTTGGCTCAGTGCATTGACTTTTTGTTTACTTAGCTAGAAAGTTGACGTTTGCTTTCGATTTGTTTTTGCTTTCTTTTTGATATGCTTTTTTTTTTCTTTTTTTCATACAATAAAAGCAAGTCAATGTGGCTGTCATCCACACACACACACACATATAGACATATACATATCTTGATGATGTTTGTCTTATTGCCCGCTTTCATTGTATGTTATGTAGACTGACTGTCTGAGTAGTCACTGATTAGCGCTGGTGCTTGCCCTCCGCCTTGAGGTCAAGAATGATGCTGAATCTGCATGTTAACTGTAGATGTATTCATGTAATTTTAGCACCTGATATGTATCCACTTTGGGCCAACGCTACGTATACTCCATGTGCCCCTGAACCCATTTAATTAAGTATACGCAGAGCCATCTGTGCCCTATCTCTCTTTTTTTCTCTCTCTCTCTCTCTCTCATTCTCTCTTTATAAACATATATCTCTTACATTTTTTTTTCCCTTTGGCATGCACATTTTGTAAATTAATTGCATTTCGCATCACAATGAAGTTTTCAGGGCAATAACAAATTCTTTTTACATAACATCTGCCGCATAACTCGATTGCAGAACAAGGTGGTCGTTGTCGATGGCACGCGCGTCAAGCTACAGATCTGGGATACGGCCGGACAGGAGCGCTTTCGCAGCGTAACCCACGCCTATTATCGCGATGCCCACGGTGAGTGCAACAGCTGCTGCAATTGAGTTTTGGGCCTCTGATGCGATTTCCCATTATTTTCTTTGTTAATTTCCGGCTGCTGCAGCGCTGCTGCTGCTGTACGATGTGACCAACAAGACCACCTACGACAACATACGCGCCTGGCTGGGCGAGATACGTGAGTACGCGCAGGAGGACGTTGTCATCGTTTTAATAGGTGAGATTCACTTTGCCGGCGAGGAATACAAAATAGATTTGATTAAAGGCAGCTTTTAGCAGCTACAGTTGCTGCTGCAGTTGCAGCTGCAGCGGTTGGGTTGCCAACTGTTGGTCACTTGATTTAATTACGAGTTTAAACTTTGCAACTTTTGTCGCACTCCACATGCCACATGCAACATGCCCTGCTTTGGCCGCCCTTCTGATCCGCACACAGGCAACAAGGCCGATTGCAGCAGCAGCGAGCGGCAGGTGAAGCGCGAGGATGGCGAGCGACTAGGACGGGAGCACGACGTACCATTCATGGAGACATCTGCCAAGACCGGACTCAATGTGGAGCTGGCATTCACAGCGGTGGCCAGGTGAGACACTAAATAAATTGACTTGAAAGCGAGTTAGACTAGAGTTTCTAATAAGCTCTAAAGTTGTTCTGCATTTGACTTTAATACAGTTCGGTTTCAGTTAAAAATTTATTACTTTTCCCACTTCCCCTTTCTGTAATCGATGTACTAATACACACGTCCATTCGCTTCGCCTTTCTCTCCACAGGCAGCTGAAGAGTCGCGGCTACGAGCATGGCGATGATGGAAAATTCAATGTGCATGATTTTGTGCGTGACAATACAAAGGCTCGGTCTGTTTGTGCTCAATGCAGGAACATGTAAATTGTTTCTCTTCCAGCACAATGAAAACTTTGCACAAAACCCACAAAAAAGAGCTCACAAAACAAAGCGCAAATTTGTACAAAAAGAAAAACTTTGCAAAACCCAAAAAAAAATGAGAAAGAAATGGAATGAATAATGCCAAATCGACAGAAAAGAAAAATACAAATAATTGGTTATTCATAGGGCACGCGTGAGGCAAACATTTTAGGAAGCTCCTAACGGGAATGTGTTTGTGTGTAAATTGATGTATGAGGAGGATACAAGTAGAGAGGGGATCGGAATTGTATAAGTGGGCGTTTAATATTGGATAATATATATACATGAATACATATACAGATATATCTATATACAAACAAGTACATACTTTATTTTTTGGCGAGGATAATAGAAAAGTCCTTGCAGGAAACGAACAAACCCAAATGGCGCAAAGTGCAGCAAAATCATGCATCATTGATATTTGTCCAGCACGTCGTCGATAAATCGGGCGCTCTAATTTGTATTTGTTATAACCGCGTTGTAAGCTGTTAGTGGCTGAAAACAATATGTGCGAATCGAGCATTTGCCACACGTATATTATATAAAGGCATTGCCCAGAAGCAACCAATCTAGATTGAACCAAACCCAATTAATGAGAAACAATCACTCAATTTACCTTAACAAAAACTATTAATTGTATTTATTGAGACTTCTGTTTTATTATGTATCGTTAAGTGTTATGCCTACCGTTAAGTTTTAAAAACCCCACACCTAAATGAAAACGGGAAAAAAATGATAAGGAGATCTTTAATGTTTAATGACTACAACTATTTTAAATTATTTACACCAGTGAAAAGAAACAAAAATAAAAGAAAATTTAACTATCAAATACTCTATGCAATTAAGTTAGCTAAATCTCTATGTAAAGTTTGGCATGTTCTATATGCAATACAATATATGCAGTTAATCACTACAACTACTCAACTACGGATGCATTCGGAATACCAACGCAAACTTTATATCATATAAAATGAAAGTAAACTACATATAAATAAACAGCGTTATCTTTAAGCAAGAAGCTTGCATGCATGCATACATATGTAATGTACTACAAATATACCATAACAACAAATACATATTTACATTGAATGTGGTTTAACAAAAAAATGGTAACTTGTTTTATTTCGAATTTGAATACGCGCGCATTTCGCTGGTTGTCTGCATTAATTTTCCAACACTGTCATTCATTGTAAAAGATTGGGTTCTTGGTGTGGTCACACTGTTTGGGATTGGTTATCGATAAATCGTAGCCGATAGCTGCAGTAGAAACATGTGCTTAGCTCGAAAGTAAAACGGCTTAAGAATTACAGATATTTTATTGTTAAATTGGAGTAGCAGAATAGCCAATTATGGCGGATCACGCGTTTCATCGGCCTGGGCCGCTGAAGCAAACAAATAAAGCTCATAAAACAGGACGTCATCGCTCCAAAGGCGCCATCGACAATGCCCTCAAAGGTATGAATACCTCAACAAGTGCAGTGGAACATGATACTTAGAATTTTTTGTTTACTTCAGGCAAAGTTGGTCTTAAGGCCATCTCGCATAAGCATAAGCTGCAGCAGCGCAAGGAGCAACGTCGCAACCAAATGAATCAACTACGCAAAAACAAGCGCGATGAGGTGCTGCAACAGAAGCGTCAATTGGGTGGACAAAACACGGCGCCCTTTCTGGTGTGTGTGCTGCCTATGCATGAGCAAATCGATGCCAACTCGGCAATTGCTATACTCCAGAGCTGCGACAGTGAAATCGTTGTAGAGAAGTCACCCAGTGGTGTTGTTTACATGAATCTGCCGCGCTTCAAGCAGCGCTTCGCCTTTGTCATTCCCCCCGTTGGGCGAGGCAATGAACTTCTTGTTCTGGACTATCTGAAGGTGTGCGATACCACGCTGATGCTGACATCGGCGGCTTTTGGTGACGATGAAATCTTCGATCGTTGGGGACAGCGTATATTTAATATGATATCAGCCCAAGGCATACCGACGCCAGTTGTGGCCCTAATGGATCTGGAATCCATTAATCCAAAGCGTCGCACTGCTGCAAAACAGGCGGCACAGAAATTTATAAGCAAGCTGCTGCCAGAGGAGAAGATCATGCAGATGGACACCTCCGCCGAAGGTCTGAATGTTATGCGTCGCATTGGTGGACAGAAGAAACGCGTGCTACACAACGTTAACAACCGGCCAAACTTGTTTGGTGACATTGTAGAATATGTTCCAAATGGAGAGATGGGCACTCTGAAAGTGACAGGCTATCTGCGAGGACAGTCATTGAATGTTAATGGTCTGGTGCATATACCTGGACTGGGTGACTTTCAGCTTGGCCAGGTCGATGCGCCACCCGATCCTAATAAGCTCGACAAGAGCCGAGACGGGGAGTTGGCTGAAGTGCGTCTACTCGATCGCAGCGATCCAGCTAAACAGACGTCGCTGCAGTCCGAGAATATACCCGATCCCATGGATGCGGAGCAAACGTGGCCAACAGAAGAGGAAATCGAGGCAGCACAAAAGGAAACAAAGAAGACAAAGTTGATCAAACGTGTGCCCAAAGGTTACAGCGAGTACCAGGCTGCCTGGATACCCGATGTGGAGGAAGTGGAAGGCCAGGATGATGACGATGAGGATGAGGACATGAGCGGAGACGAAGAAGACGAGGACTTTATGTCCTGTGATAACAAGTCCTTTGAGGACGAGTGCGAAAAACGTGACTCGGATACAGAAGAGTATTTGGACTCTCTTTCGATTACCTCAGAGGCAGCTGTCAACGACGAAAAATACGATCAGCAAATGGATTTCCAGGAAGAGCGGGAGACCTTAAAGAAGCTACAACTGGCTCGCACCGATCAGCTGTGGCCCGACGAAATCGACACGCCTCTCGATGTGCCCGCCCACGAACGCTTCCAAAAGTATCGCGGCCTGGAATCGTTCCGCACATCGCCCTGGGATCCCAAAGAGAATCTGCCCAGCGACTATGCACGCATCTATCAGTTCAAGAATTTCGATCGCACCAAGCGACGCATTTTGGCAGAGGCCAAAGAATTCGAGGGCATTTTGGTGAGAGAGTGAAATAAATATCATTTGTTTATTGTTAATTTATTTTTATACTCTACAGCCCGGATTGTACATCACGCTGCATGTCATCAATGTGCCCGCCAGCCGCTGGAATGCATTCCGATCTGCTCACCTCTCGGATAATGTCATTGTTTATGGATTGCTACCACATGAGCACCAGATGTGTGTCATGAATGTTGTCCTTCAACGTATACCAGACTCCGAGGTGCCTCTGAAGTCCAAGGAGCAGCTGATTATCCAGTGTGGCTATCGTCGATTTGTTGTCAATCCCATTTACAGTCAGCACACAAATGGCGACAAACACAAGGTGCGTCCAGTGTACCTACTTTATACCAAATATTAGCTGATTTATATTCTCCCGCAGTTTGAGCGTTTCTTCCGCCCATATGAGACAGTGTGCGCCACCTTCTATGCTCCGATACAGTTCCCTCCTGCCGCTGTGCTCGCTTTCAAGGTGAATCCCGATTCCTCTTTGGCATTGGTTGCCCGTGGCCGTCTGCTCTCTTGCAATCCGGATCGCATAGTGCTGAAGCGAGTGGTGCTTAGCGGTCATCCGATGCGCATTAATCGCAAGTCGGCCACCATACGCTACATGTTCTTCTACAAGGAGGATGTGGAGTACTTCAAGCCCGTCAAACTACGTACCAAGTGTGGTCGAATGGGTCACATCAAGGAGTCGCTGGGCACGCACGGCCACATGAAGTGTTATTTCGATAGCCAGCTGCGTTCCTACGACACGGCATTCATGTATCTCTATAAGCGCGTCTTCCCCAAGTGGAATTATGAAGAGTGCCTTGTGCGCAGCGCTGAGCATTCGCGACAGGAGCATTTGACGGAAGCTCACCGCAATTCAAAGCAACTCGACGACGAGGCAATGGAGCAATAGTCTAACTTTGTATATATACGAGTACATATTTATACATTTTTGTATATCTGTGCATATATTGAAATAAATTTTGTCTCACGGACACAATATAAGTCATACTTTATCTTTTATGTATAATAGGTATAATCGAACTATATTCACAAACAATTGGCTTAACTAATTGGGATAATTTACGCATAACATATATATAATATATATAGATAGA